GGTGACTGGGGCCGGCTGCGGCAGCTGCGGCTCCTCCCGGTGTGTGATGGTAACTAGGCCGGGTGGCGGCGGTGGGGCTGCTCAGGGCTCTCTGGGGTCCGCTCTCCGCTCCCGCTACCGATCGAACTGTCTGCTCAAAATTTTTGTTGCTTTATTATACTATGAAGCAAACCCAAGGACACTCTACACTGGCTTACAACCCTAGGTCGTTTTTGTATTTTAAGACAGTCTTTAAGTTGCCCAGGTGGAACTCAAGCTTATGATCCTTGTGCCTCAGCTTTTCATGGCTTTTCTTTAAAAAAACCCAAAAGAACCCTTGACCGGTTGCACTCATTTTCCAGGAGCCTGATTACAAGCCACCTTTTTTTTTTTTTTTTTTTTTCCAAAAAGTCTTTTCACATACTTGACAAGGTATTTTAAGTTTTTCTTCTGAACATGCCCCTCATGTAGCCTGTTATTCCCCTGCCCCTGGTTGTCCTGATGCACTCAGGGCCTGCTATACTCTAGCTGTCCTTCTAGGAAAGTCTTCATTTCTTTCCTGTGTATTTACATCTTGTTTTCTAGATTTTATTTGTTGTTGTTTTTGGTGATGGTGGTTGGGATTTTTTTCCTCCCTAGTCAGGGGACATTCCTTGAAGCTTTATGGACACCTAGATTTTTAAAACCTGGGAATGCTTTGGTTCTGTCTTCCTACTTGGTTATATCGCTGATGTTTCAAAATTCCATTGCAATGGTTCTGTGCATCTTTTTTGTTAGCTCCTTCTGTTAATTGTGCTGTGCACTTTCTTGGCCCATTACTCTGTAAACTTACAGTTTTCAATTTGGAGGACTTCTGTTTTCATTGTAAACTGAAAATGTGGATCTCCTATTAATTACATATTGGACTTTGATTCTTTTTTTTGGTGGGAGAGGATATACTTTGTGTGTGTGTGTGTGTGTGTGTGTGTGTACACTACATATGTAGTATAATTGTTTGGCTCTGTTGCACCACCTTATTCTGCTTTCTAAAAGATTTGTATTGTACTTTAATTTCCAAGAGTTCTTTTTAACAGCACTTTATTGATGTCTATTAATCTTACAAAATATTATTTCAGTGTGGTATTTCCAAACATGCAAATGTATTATGATCATATCCATTCCTTCATTACCTTTCCTTATATTTTCCTCCTCCTTTTACTCTTAGGTAGTATAAGTCTTCCTTCTACTTCAGTGTCATTTTTTTTAAAGATACCATATATTAGAGAAAATATTACGTAATATTTGTCTTTCTTAGTCTACTTTATTTCACTTAATATGGTCTCCAGCTCTATTTTCCTACATGTGTTATTTCATTTTTCTTTATGGTTGAATAATATGTCATTGTGTATATATACACCATATTCTCTTTAGTCATCTATTAATGGGTATTTAGGCTGGTTCCATATCTTGGCTTTTGTGAAGTATGCTGCAGTAAACATGGTTATGTGGATATTCCTACATTGTGCTGACTCATTCCTTCAGGCATAGTCTGGTCATATGTTAATTCTGTTTCTAAGTATTTTAAGGGGCTTTTATATTGATTTTCGTAGTGGTTGTGCTAATTTGTAATACCACCACCACCATTGTAGAAGGGTTCCTTTTCCCCACATCTTTTCCAGCATTCATTCATTCATTCATTTATCTATTGTATTTTTTCTTTTCAAAACGCCTTTCAATAGCTCCCATTTCTGGAGTACAATCCATCTTCTTTCCTGTGCTATATATGCTGGCTGTGGCCTGACTCCTGTCTTGTCATGCCCTTGCTCTTGATGCATTCATTTATTTTTGAATTTTTGGTAATAGCCATTCTGATTGTGGTAAGAGTCTCACTGAAGTTTTGATCTATATTTTCTTAATAGCTGAAGATGCTGAACATTTTTTGTATGTTTGGCTATCTGTACTTTTGAGAAGTGTTTATTTATTGATTCACCTGTTTCATTTTTAGTGTTTTTTTAAAGTTTATATATTGTAGTATTAATCTTCTGTCAGTAGAGTAGCTGGTAGGAGCATCTTGTTCTTATTTGATGAAGTTTCTTGCTATCTTTCTAAGGAAAAGGAGGAACCTGAGTCAAAGTCTCATTTGCTTTGAGACTTTTGTATAATCGCTCATAGTTTTTAAGCCTTAATTATAAAGCAGAAGGGCCGGCCAAATAGCTCAGCAGATTAAAGTGCCTGTAAGCACAAGGTGGGGCCTGAGATTAGATCCCCAGGCCTGCCATGCTGACCCCACCCCTGGGGTGCTCTGAGACAGCAATTGAGACTGGGCATGGTGGCGCATGCCTATAATCCCAGCTCTTGGGAGGCTGTAAACAGGTGGATCACTATAAGTCTGATTCTAGTAGTGAGACCCTGAACACCCTGGAGATCCTCCCCACCCCCCAAAAAAGAAAAAAATTTAAAGCAGAACATAAATGCAGTGATGGTTTAAGTATTTCTGTCAATTCTGTTGTTGGTTAGTGAAGATGGCTTCTCATACACATCTAGCATTGATGGTCTGGTGGTCTTGGGGCCTCAGCTGGAATGTCTCATTTCTGTCCTTGTCTTTTCATCTTCCAGTAGCCTAGTTTGGGCTTCCTGAGGTTTTTAATTGACACATAATATTTAAAGGGTAGAGAATGATGTCTTGACATATGTATACATTGTATAATGATCAGACTGGGGTATGTAAAATAGCTGTCACCATGTACATTTATCATTTCATCATGGTAAGAACATTTAAAATCATCTCTAGTTACTTTGAAAAATACTGTATTGCGTAATAGTATTAACTATAGTCGCTCTACAATAGAACATTGGAACTTACCCCTCCAGTATAACTGTAATTTTGTATCTATTAGCCATTGTCCCAGCCCCTTGTCTCCCCCACTTCCCAGGTTTGAGTAGCCACTATGCTACACTGCATTTCAGTGAAATCAGTTTTTTCAGATTGCAAAAGTCAGTAAGATTATATGGTATTTGTCTTTCTGTATGTGGTTTATTTCACTTAATATCATCCAGCTTCATCCATGCAGCCACAAATGACAAGATTTCACCCCTTTTTTAAGGAGGAGTCATACTCCATTATGTATGGCCATGTACCATATTCTTTTCATCCACTCACCTGTTGGTGGATGCATAGATTGATTCCATATCTTTTCTGCTGGGGAGAATGCTGCAGTGAGTAGAAGTGTACAGAAGTCTCTCTGGCATACTGATTTTCGTTCTTTGGGGGGTATATGCCTTGTAATGGAATTGTTGGATCTTATAGTTCTCATTTTATTTATTATTTTACAGAGTATCAAATCTTTTATTGTTATCAAATAATGAGTGAATTTTTTTTTTTTTTTAGAACCGGGGATTGAACTCAGGCCCTTGTGCTTGCCAGGCAAGTGCTTATTCTACTGAGCCATCTCCCTGGCCCCAAGTATCTCTTTTTAAATTTAATTTAATTTAATTTTTATTTATTTATTTTTTTTGTGTGTGAAATTTTTTGAGGTGCCTTCCTACTGTTTTCCATAATGGCCATGTTACTTTACATGTTCCCAATAGTTTGTGAGGGTTCTGCTTGGGCTTTTCCATGTGACATTTTCAGACAGTTTTCAGGTGAGAGTGGAGGCTGCATGATTTCTGGAGGCATAAGCTGAGATGATTCCATTACTCCAATGCAGTATTGGTCAGCATTAGTCCTGAAGCCCAGGTCCCTAGGGTGCTCCCGCACTCTCCATCTTGATGAAAGAAATGCATAAACTTCGGTTTTTTTAAGTTGCTGCACCCAGTAACTCCTTTTAATCACCTCACTCCATTCTTCCCACTGACCGTTCAGTTTCAGCGCTAACCCAGTCCATCTGCTTTCTGAGTTTACATTTTGGTTCAGGATTGCAGGTGCTTCAATTGTTTTGTGGAATACAGAGTTTGTGTTTTTTGTTCTTTATCCTGTTCATTGCTAGTTTTAGAAGGAAGTGAGTGGAAAAATATTTACTTCTCCAACTAAGAACTTGAGGCATTCTTTGAGAGGATGAGTGAGGGTCCGTGGGTACAGGGTATGTGAGAATAGTGTTCTTTTTCTAGTTGTGATGGAAATTCGTTGACATAGTTAGACTTACTGATTTCATACACATCCTGAGTAATGTTAGTTCTCATGTGTCCTCAGTTTATGATCTTAACGGCTATGTGTAATAACACACATCGAATTAGTAACATGTGGATATTGTTTATCAATTGCTCTGTAATTTCCAGGGAGAAAGGGCCTATTTTGGCTTGGAGGGCTGGATTTTAAAAAGCCAGAGGAATTGGAGATACATAGCTCAGTGACATAGCACCTGCCTGGCAAGCATGAAGTCATGAGTTCGATTCATGACTTAAAAAAAGCTGAAGGTCCAGTCATGCTGGCTCTTAGTTGTGAGATGATGTAGCAGCTTCCCTAAAGGAACGGTGGTTAGAAGGAAAAGGACAAGTTATGAATAGGAGGTGGAAAGAGAATAGTTCATGGAGCGTGGACCTTGCCTTTTCCTTCTGAATATGAATTAAAGGATTTTAAACGTGTTTTTAAAGCATTCAGTCACATCCCCCAGAAGTTGTTTGAGAGGACTGGGACTTAGAAACAGTTGAAACTTTCTCTAGTCTGTGTGCAAGAATCTGAGAGACTGCTGAGAGGGATCAGAAAGGCTAGGGGTGTGCAGTGGATTATTTTACAGGAAAATGACAGGTTTTGGGGAACCCTGTATGTTGAGGATGTAGAGTGTTTGTTGGCAGACTTTGGCACCAGACCAGATAAGTGGTGTGTCACAGACAAGATTAGAGAAGTTTGGGGAACGGGCCTGATTTTATGGGGAAAGATGATGAGGACATTCGTGTATGTTGGGTTAAAGGAGGTGTGGAGATATGTGTGGAGATGTCAGAAACACTGTTACAAATGAGAGTTGGCATGAACAGTGGAGAGTTTATTTTGTGATAGTTAAATCATAAAAGTGGAAGAGTTCTTTAATGAGAAAATAGCAAAAGAAGATACGGTAAATCTTGAGGGTATTTATCAGGAGTGGATGGAGAAAAGTAAAAATTAGATGGACCCAAGATACTTGTATGTGTGTACATACATAAATGTATAATACTCACAACTAGCTACGGTGTGTACTACAAAGTGTTGAGACTTTTAAAGCCTAAAGACGGGGGTGAGGGCTTGGTCACATAATGGTGTTTTTATTGCTGCATCCTGCAGAGGACTGGGCGGGTCTTACAGCAAACTTGTGCAGGTCATTCTTCCCATCACAGAGTTGCAACCATTCCTTCTTTAAGCATTTCTAAGTCTAGTGTGAAGACAACATCCCAAGACACAGGAGTTCAGTTGCAGTTAATCATACGCTGCAAAGTGCTGTTTTCAGTGGTGGACTCTAGGGCTTGTTACTCCCTTTCCCTGTCCTTTACCTCCCTGTGACCTCCGCTTATTTCAGCTCGAGCTGTTTTGAGACTCTTCCTCTGAGAATGTGTTTTGTTTAAATAATATATTAAAATTGGTGTAATTAGGAAGATTTTATTGAACTTCTTTACAAACATGAGCAAATGATTGTTCTCTTAGGAGGCTGTTTGAACTTGCAAACAAAAATCTTGTCCTAGCATTTACAAATTCGAAATTCTCTGTACATAGGACTGTGTATAACAGTAACTGAAAACAAATCAGAGACTCAGTATGGGGCAGGCCTTCAAAGATTTACATGTAGGTTAAAAGTCAAATGTGAATTTGAGAGGGTGTTGCTACTCATTTTCTTTGTGAAGTTGGGTAAGCTGCCCAAACTCAGCTTCCATTCCTCCATGCTCATATGCAACCAACCGTCCTGCTTGATCTCTAGAGTTGGGATAGAGTTAAATGGAATGTTTCAGGTAGAATTCAACAGCAGATCCTTAGTAAGCATTCAGTAAGTTACTTGTTGCCAACACCTCACCTCACTTCCCACTCCTTCCCCACCAGCCTGTTGTAACAAGGGATGGTTGAGAATTGCAATGAGTAGGGAGACTGGCAAGTGACTCCCACATACTTTCAATTGCCTTTTTGATGTGGCACCAGGCGTGGCATGTGAGAACTTATTTTTAGTGTCCTTTAGCAGAAGGGGGCAGTACTCCAGAAAGCTCTTAGCAACCTTCCAGTTATGGCAATAGAGACCCTGAAGTTGTTCTAGCCTTCTGCATGAAGTGTATTCATGCAGCATACACTTACGGAGTGCTTTCCACATTCTAGACATTGAGTGGACACTGAGTCTACAAAGATGAATAAGATGTGCTGTCTGCCCTCAAAAGAGGGAGTCATGTAAATGCAATAAAAGGGTTTCCTTTAAGGACTGAGGCCTTTGCAGTGGATAAGCAATAGTTTGGTTACCTCTGAACAGTGAAAACTCATTGTCTGACTTACGGTAATGAGCAGCTTGTTGTGAACACAAAGCCACTTTGGGGTGTTTGTTCTGATGTTAGTGCTTTTAACAGTTAGGCCCACATAGAAAATAGCAGTATTTATACGTTCCTCAGGCAGATCCTGGACATTCTCTTTTTCAGTTATTTGAAACCTGGCCTTTCCATACAAATCAGGTGACACCTGACTTTCATACATGTTAAAATGTTGACAAATAATTAAAGAATAAGCTTGTGACACTAAAAGCCTGGTAAATGATATTGAACTTGTTAACAAACCACTTACAAATAAGCTATAATTCTGGTTCTTAAATTACATGTGAGAGCTGAGCAGTTTCAGCGACAAGAGCATGTAGCACAATAATTCTGACTGGTCTGTTTCTAGGCTACAAAAACCCAAGAGAAACTTTCAGCTTTTTTATGGTGGGACTTGTAGATAAGGTCAGCATAGATTTCCTTGCCATGCGTCACACACAGACCTTTGGGCAGGGGTCCTGGATGGGTGCAGGCTGGTTTTAAGCATGTGTGGCTTTGTCATTTGAAGGTGGATGAACATATGTAAGCCTGGCAGCACTCTTTATAAAGTTAATCGAAACAAGCATTTCTTGTTAATAAGCTTCACCTTAAAGTCAGTGTCCTGTTGATATTAGTAATTCATCATTAGCTTAGCTTGAGGATATGTTATAGCTAGCGTCATTGCTTTCCGCAATTATTCAGATGATAAAATGTTTACTTGTAGTTGGTAGAGAAAGCAGTTTCAACTGCCTTGGAGGTGAGCTGTGTTTCTGTGATACCACTCTCAGCCGTGTGTCTTCTGTGTGCAGGGAGGCTCATGCATCTGTACGCAGTGTGTGTGGATTGCCTAGAAGGGGTTCACAAGATCATCTGCATCAAGTGTAAGTCTCGGTGGGACGGCAGCTGGCACCAGCTGGGCACAATGTACACCTACGACATCCTGGCCGCCTCTCCCTGTTGTCAGGTTGGTATTAACTGCACCACAAGAGCAGCGTGTGATACTGGGTTTCTGCCCCCAAGGGAGTATAGAGGAGGTTATTTGAGGGTGCTTGAGAAGATGCTTCAGAGAAGCAAGAAGAAACTCAGGAAGCCCACTAAGCTTCAGCAAGAGTTGCTGAGTGGCTGCATTGTGGTGGAATACTATGCAGTTGTCACAAGGGGTATTGTAAGATAATTTATCTTTATATGTGGAATATTTCCCATCTGTTCAGTTAAAAAAAGAAAAGGCTATAACATGGCACTATGCCACAGTTGTGCCGTGAATAAGTGAGCACGCAAAGGGTTCACTAACTTACATTTTCACATATTTTATACGATTAACATACTATATTTCTAATAAATATTGTAACTTGAAGCAAGTTTTACTTTTTAATTTTTTAAAAAATTTATGTATCTGGTATAGGGTCTCACTGTGAAGTTCAGACTTGTAGTGATCCTCCTGTTTTCAGCCTCCCCAGAGCTGAGATTACAAGCATGTGCCACCACACCTGGACTTAGTCACTGCCTCAGCAGTCCCGGGGGTGGGGGGCACCATGATATACGGGACTGGGATTGAACCCAAGGCCCTGCGCTTGCCAAAGCCAGTGCTTAGTCCACTGAGCTATCTCGCCAGCCCTTTTTAGTATACGGAATTTTGTTTTCTTTCTGTGCCATACTGTCAATTTCATCAGATGAAATTCAGATAAAACTGTCTACTTAATAGGAGTGGTTTGAACACAAGCTGAGATTATGCATTGTTAGTACGTTTTGAGGAGGAATTTAAATCGAGTGTCTGTTTATATAATTTCTTCATATAACTCCTTTTCTTGTGGCTGGCTCAGCCCACCCTGGGGGCAGGGCTGGCATGGCATTTGTTGCTAGAGATCAAACCTCAGTCCCTGTGCGCTTGCTTAAGCTTGCCTAAGGCTGAGCTTTCTCGCCGGCCCCCTATCTGTTCAGATCACTCTTGAACCTGATGCTGAAAGGGTATAGAATTGTACTGCTAGAAGAACCTGGCATGAACAAAGATAATGTGCTAGTGGGACCCAGAAGCCTTAGGATAAACACAGGACTTCTGCCCGGCTTGCCAATCTTACTTCACTATTTTAAGGGAATGTAATTTTTACATCAAAGAAAGCACATTATCATATATGTAACATACAGTAAAATGAAAATGCATATGAACTTTTTGAAATCCTGACTTCAAAGAAGTATCATGCAAGCATGGGTGGGAGAAAGTTCAAACCATTCTCTTAAAATCCAGGTTGGTGTCTGGGGAGATAGGTCGGCAGCATAAAGCTCTGCCTGGCAAGCTCAAGGTCCCAAGTTCAATCCGCAGTACTCATGCCATTCTGGCTCCAGAACTGGGTGTGATGGTGCATGCCTGTAGAACTAGGGAGGCTGAGACAGGAGGATCACTATGAGTCTAAACTGTGTAGTGAGACCCTTTGCCAAAAAATAGTAAAATAAAATCAAATCCAGGATCGCAGATAGTCTCTTAAGGGAACTTTGGTGGCAAGTTTTAAGCAGTGCTAGTTTAGGGTTTTCTTCCCACTAAAAAATGACAGGACTAGCATTGCCTCCTTTAAGAGAAGTTGGAGACATTAATCTTTCAGACAGATGAGGGGGGCTTTAGAGTATCAACTTTAGGCTTTATATACCCTGCTTTTGGTAGTAAGAGAGGTTGAACAGTCAGGCAGTTCCCAGCCTTTTGATTTGGATGGCTTTGACAACTGTTGTGGAGGAAAGTAGTGCTTATGTGTCTGTTTCTTCCAGGCCCGCCTGAACTGCAAGCACTGTGGGAAGCCTGTGATCGATGTGCGGATCGGGATGCAGTACTTCTCTGAGTACAGCAACGTCCAGCAGTGTCCACACTGTGGGAACCTGGACTACCATTTCGTGAAGCCATTCTCCTCCTTCAAAGTTCTTGAAGCTTATTGATGAAAGCTTTGCTTTAGTAATAGGTATTTTATTGATATTACTTTATTACATATCTTTTATAGGGAAACATTCTGTGACATTAATTTCTTTTCTAATTTAAAGCAGAGTTACTTTGTATATGTATACCACTAAAATGGGGCTGCCCTTTCCCCTGTCTTGATCCACCAGTGTTAGTCTGTGGTCAGGACCAGAGCCAGGTGGATAACAGTGTGAGTGTGGGTAGGGTTCGTTTTCACCAGAAGTCTCTGATGCAGCTTTAAAGTGATGGGGAGGATGGGATGAATCTAGAAAAGGGATTATGTGGCTATGAACTAAAAGTATAGAATGGGGAGAGAGCATTTAGTAAAATGTTTACTTTCTAAAGACCCAGTTTTAGATCTTCTGTGGGCCTTAGGCAAAATATGTGACAAGTGAATGTAAGTCTGAGCGTGGAGAACCAGTAGTGTGTTAGGCTGTCTCGGCTTCGTGTTCTGTAGCACACGCTGAAATGCAGCTGCACTCACAGGTGATCTGAAAGTGGACATGAGTATTCTTTTCTTTCAGTGTTGTAACTTAACACTCAGTTTTCATATTGAAAATAATACCCAGATTAGAAGACGGGAAAGCTGTTGGTGTTGCAAATGTTTTTAGCTAAACTGACCTATAAAAGAACATGTGAAATAGGTTTGGAAGTGATGCCCTCTTGAGAAGGCAAAAGGCAGAGCTCTGTCATTTGAGTTATTCTGTGAAGTTGGTCTCAGTAATTCTTAAGGAGAATCCATGCAGAGTGTGACTGAGGGGTGACATTGTCTAGAGATTGTACTTTGGAAGTGCGGTTTGGTATCACATTCTTCCCACAGGCAAATCCCACAGCCATAGAACCTAACTGGTGAGCTGCAGAACCAGTCATGCCACACTTAACTTCCCCATAATGCCTTATCGCCGTGTCTAACCCATTTAATACTTAGTTTCCAAAATCAGAGTTGAGCTGAGGAAGGGAAGGATTGTTTAAGAGAGTGACAAAGAAAAGAATAATTTTAGCATTTCTTTTTAAAGTGTGTCATTTTGGAACATCACTGTTGTAATACATGATAGTCTGCTTTAAAAATGGTCATCCTAAAGATCCTTACAATAACATATTGGTTAAAAAAATCACTTACAGAACTTCATTAGAGCATTGAACATTCTAAAATACTGCCTTCTGTTCATTAGATTGTAATACATTGATACTGTATACTTTTGTAGAATTGAAATTAGATTCTCACAAATAAATTGATAATTTCAAGTATGATACGTGTATATTCTAAAAAGGTTACTAAAATTAATCATTCTATGAATAGCCAAATTTGGCATTGATGTGAATATTTCATATTATTTATTTGGCTTACAACTTTTTCCTCTGTTATTTTTTTTTCCTTTTAGGCATTATGCACTTGAATTTCATTTTTATTATGTGAAATATGTTATATTTTGAAACAACACATCACTGAAAAAAGTGCATCAACTAATATTCTTCACCTTTCACTTAGGATGATTCTTACTTGGTATACTGCATCTAATTTGGTGTTTGATCTGAAAAACATTCCACGGTGAAGGGGGAGCTCAAAATGCCTATGAAACAGGATCACTACTGGTCAGGCAGTGTGTAATGCAACTACAAGAGGCCTAGAGAACATAGTCCTTGGAATTTAGTCACCGATACACAAAGCTGTAATTGTGAATTGTTTCCCATTGATTTTCTTATCCAAATAAATTGCTAAGTTTCTCTTATTTTCAGAAAACCATTTGGGTTTCATTTCTGAATTTAATATTAGTAATAAAATATTTGTAATATTCTACAACTCACCTGTTCCTCAACCTACCCACATATTTTTAGGAAACCTACTTGTTCAGAAGCTGACGCAGTTGACCTCTGCATTGCATTCAGTGGCAAGCTCTTCAGGGTAAAATCACTATGAGCTTAGTCTATGCTGCATTCTGTATTTTTTCCTTAGATTGTTTTCTATCCTCTTGAAAAGTAAGTATGGTGAGGTTTCCCTACAATTCAGTAAAATCTTGCTTTTGGATGTTATTTTGATAATGCAGTGAATATGCAGTTATATTAAAAGAGGCATGAGTATCAGAATCTTTTAAGGCACATTTTTATGTAAAAGAAAAAATTTGGCTAATTAGAGAATAAAATATAATTAAATGTGCAACAGTGTGAGGTGCTCGCTTTGATATTTTCTCCAAGCTTGCCCCGAGCACTTTGATCATAATTGGGATTTGTCAAAGAGAGATTATTATTTTTGTCACTGTTAGGGTATTAAAATATATCAATCATCCAGGAAATGCAGTTTCTGTTTTTCTGATAAAGTATTCAGTAACATGAAACGGTCTTAAGAGTGACTAATAATTTCAATAATTTTTAATATATTCCAACATTTTAAATCATTATTTGTAAGAGCCCATACCTGAACAGATACAATTACCTGGTACAGTCTAGAGAGAAGACAACTTGTGATTACTTTTTCTTCAGGCCATTGTAGTTCTCTGCTTGCTTCTGGTTACAGCTGAGGTGTGGATATTTTGTGTTTATGCTTTAAAGATGGACATTGTGCCATGAAATCGTGAGACGGTTCAGTTGTTCTGCTCTGTTTACAGAAGAGCTTCCCCAAACAGCCTTTACGTTTCAGTATTTATAAGAGAACATTTTCTGAATAAAAGAAATTTTCACATTTTGGCAAAAATTAGCTCATCAAGAAAAATATTAAGTGTTTAAATGGTGAAACTAACAAAACTAATGTGCTGAAGTCTTTTTTCATCTGAAACTGCAAGGCCAGTGCTCACTATGCGCTCTGTGCCCAGGTTTGTGACCCCAGTTTGCCTTTTCTGTTTGTCTCCTGGTCACAGCTGTTGAGCCATTTTAGTTGGAGATTGGAGAAGAGGTGAGAAGAAAGTGCTCTTGCGTGTTTTGTTTCTTAACAGTAGGATGCTGCCTAAGTTCCTTTCTGTGTCCTGTTGACTTTCTTGTTATTCCAGGTTAATTGGAAGAAAATAAAATGAATGGACACCATTAAAGCCAGCTCAAAACTACATTGTTATTGGTAAAATTTTTTTGTCAAGATGTCTTGGATTGCACTTTTGTTGAGGGAAGACAGTGTAAATAGTTGAAGAATGTTGATGAAATTAAAACATTTGGTTGTGGAGTTTTGTGTGGGGTTAAAGGCTTTCCATTTGTGAAATGTATGTACTAAAAATAAAGTTGCAGAAGCTAACATTGTGTTCTCTGTAGTGTCTTACTGTATTTTGAGAAATGGGATTGTCTTGTCAGAAAAGATGGTAGAGAAGATTTTATTTTAAATACTATTCAGAAAACTATCTCACCATCACTTTTTTTTTTTTTTGGGGGGGGGGTACCAGAAATCAAACTCAAGACCTTGTGCTTGCCAGCAAGTACTTATGCCACTGACTTGTAGGCCTGGCCTTCACTGTCACTGTTGGAGCTAATCAAAACTAAAGTTGTGCTGCTTGCAAGTCATGTATCACATGTAAACTTACTGTGCAACAAAACAAGCATTCTACATGACAGATTGCTTTTTGTCCCCAGTGCCCCAGTGGTCCAAAATCAGTATTCTCTTACTGAATAGCAAGTGTAGAGAAATAAAAATGGAGGCCACAGTTTTGATATATCCCAGGCCAGGGACACACAGGAACATGGCCAAAACTTAAAAGTCATCCCAATTTCCCTCAAATGCCAACTGTAATAAACACAAAATAAAAGCTTTATGTCCTTGACAGTATGATTGCATGAAATCAAAACAGTTACAGATTAGTAAACTAACATTGGTGTACAACAGGATTTATCAACAGAGGACATGCTAACTTTATGATTTATAAGGGTCCTGTGGCTACTTTGTAAGTGTTCTTTTACATGCATGATAAATTTCTACACTGTTGAAATTTGTTTTTTGGAAGGAGGGCACTAGGGAGTAAACCCAGGACCCTTTCATTGAAGCTATGTCTGCAGCCAGTTTATGAGGCATTGTCTCACTAAGTTCACTCAATTACCTAGGTGGGATTTGAATTTGCAGTCCTGCCTCAGCTAACCAGGGTATTGGCATTACAGGCCTGCACCTCCCTGTGCCTTGATCTTTAATTATGATAGTAGATAATCCTGCTCTACAAATATTTTGTTTGATTCTGAGGCATGTAGCAGTTCATAACGAAATGACTAGATCATATGTGTTTTTATAAGCAGAGTAAAAATTCATAGTTAAACTTCTTTTATCTTTAAGGCAATGTTACCAAGTTCATCGCTTATCCATCTGATCTCTTTGGCCCCTTAATTTCATTATTTAAAAATCCAGCCAATGGATTGAATCCAAAAAAGCATTAGAATATAGGAGAAGATGTGGCAAAAAGAGTAAGAGTTGCCATTCTGCAAGTAGATTAAAAACTTGTATTTATTACCAGCTCTGAGGCATCAATTTAATTTTATTCAGAGGCTTAAGGAGGACTTACAGTGTTGTGATTTCTACTAATGTGGCTTATGTCAACAACATTTACTATAAGGAAAGTACAGTTCTTTCTGAAGGGGGAGCAGGGAGCAAAGTTAAGTGATAGAAATTAAGTTTAATGGGAGAAAAGTCTTGTTCTTAGTGATTTCCACTTTAAATCTTGCTTGTATTATTTTGACAAATCTGGCAATAATTAGACTATGTGGATAGTAAGGGTTAAATTTGGGGATGAAGCAAAAGGCTTCTCTTGAGCTCTCATTCTTGTCTGGTTCTTAGATCACCACACCCACTGGATGAGCAGGAAGTACGTTTGAAGATAAGGTTCTGTAAAGATGACAGATACAGTATTTGAAATAATGTAAGTGGGAACCTTTTGCACTATGGGAGTAATAGGAGCTTGATTGGCCATTGCTGAGCCCGAGAGCCAGTAAAAATAGAAATAAACTTGGTCTCATGCATGGATTTATAAGAGAAATAAACTTGGTCTCATGGATGGATTTCAGAGAATAGCACTGGTTACATTGATTTACATTCACATGGAACTGGTCTATAGACCCATTTCCTGATGAATGCCATACCCAGTACGCTGATACTCTTGACTCAGAGTGTTAGTGCTATCTTTTTAAAAATGTATTTACTACAGGGTCTCACTACGCAGCTTGGACTCTTACTGATCCTCCTGTTTGCAGCCTCCCCAGCGCTGGCATTACAGGCATGTGCCACCATGCTGGGTCTTGCAGACTGGCTCAGCGTGCTTGGGGGTGGGGCTGCCATGGAGTGTGGTGCGGGGGGATGAAATCTGGTTCTTGTGCTTGTCTAAGCAAGTGTTTAATCTACTGAGCCATCTAACTGGACTTGTGTTGGTGATATCTTAAAATCAAGTTTAGAACTCTAATTAAATTCTTAATTAACTCAGGTATGCTGGAATTAGGAAAGTCATAGCCACCACCATGGTAGGACTTAAAGATGTCAGAATTTTAATGCAGGGGATGTGCTTTTACTAAAATAATACATAATAAGTATTACATTACACTGACTCAGAAGTTATGGAGGCACATGCTTGTGATACTATAGCATTAGGCTGAGGCAGGAGACTTATCCCAAGTCTGAGGCCATAGTGAGTTCAAGACCTGCCTGAACTACATAGTGAGACACTATGTAGTTTTTGTTTTTGTTTTTTTTTTTTTTTAATATATATTGCATTGACTCGTGTACTTTAGGGATAAACTTGAGACCCAGAGAATTGAAACCAAACCAAAAAGAGATTGTGATACTCTGCCAGCTAACCATGGTAGAATGGAGTAACCACAGGCTTTCTTCTATTTTGCCTGTATTTTCTGATATTTGGCTACAAACTATCTGTAACAATGATTATTAGATTTAGATAATAGATGCCTGAAAAATCTCTAATAACCTGTTTTATTTTTTTCCTTGTTTTTGTGTTTACTGATTTCATTTTCTGATACAAAGAGCAACAAATCTGGGGGCCTAGGCACATAACATTAGGGTAAATAGGAAAATACCTTTTTAACTTGTATACCATATAGGTGTTAAAGGGTGGGTATAAATGAAACCAGAAGTGTCTGGAACCTCTGGAACAGAGAGGAGCCTTGTTATGAAGCATACAGGTAATGGAAAATACAATCTTTACATGTTTCACAGGATGAACTCTTTCATTTGAGAATTTGGGGTGTTGACGAGGTAGATTTAAAAGATTTAGTAGCTTTTGGGTTTAACATCATAGGTCCTTCAAAAAGAAGTAAGATTCTGAGAGGTTTCCTTGAGTCTTTTGCATAAGAGAGACAAGTGCCATCTTTGTTTGGTTTCTATAGCAATATCAGACACGGTAATGTGCAGACAATAGAAACTTCTCACAGTTTTATGGCCTGAGTGAGAAGTCCAAGATCAAGTTGCCAGCATCTAGTCAGGACAGTCTTACTGTGCTGAACCTCACCTGGCAAAACAGAAAAAAACCCCGTCCCTGCAAGGCCTCATAACAGCGGCATTAATCCATCAGGACTCAGCGCCCAGGAAGTCCTGCCTCCAGGCACTGTGCACCGCTGCAGGTTTCCAGCATGTAATTTTGGGAGATGCATTCAGGACATTTGAAAGCATCCCCTGTTTTGAGAAAAGACAGGGCTCCTTTCTCAAAAGAGATACTATTTGAAACCAATACTTGTATTTTACCTTTTTACCAATTTGTTAAGATAGATTATAGTTTGAGGGGACTGAGTGTAAGGTGACATTTCAACAGTCCATGGTAGAGTAATCCATCATTTTATTTGCTGTGGTATCTAAAAATATTTTTGGATCCAGCTCAAGCCCAGGCCCAGTGAGTGTGTGGGAGAGCTTCCAGCTCTCGTGCACCTGCTGGCAGGAACTCTCCAGACCCAAACCCAGGCAGGCCATGTGAGTGAGACTCTCTGCTACACCCTTGGGACCCCTCTGTAGCCCATCAGCCCAAGTGAGAACTTGTGTTGCGCTCTCGGGACCCCCTAGACCCAGCCCAAGCCCAGGCCCAACTAGTGTGTGGAAGAGCTTCTGCACTCCCCTGCACCCCCTGCACCAGGGGCACAACAGAGGGCCACAACAGGTTCGTTTCCAAGGGCTGCAGCAAGAAGGAGCTGACCACAACAGCTAGACCCAAACCAGGTACAATTGGATAAGCTCCAACTTAATAAATCTGCACCTGAATTAAAGTATGCGCTAAGATAAGTGCACCAAAGCTCTACACCAAAGGTCAGAGGTCAGTGCTATACAAAATGACAAAGAGAATGAGCAAAATGCAAATTTAGGCCTCAAGCCCACCCAGAACAAGTGCAGAGGACACTAGCTCAGTTGAAATGTATGGA